ATCAACTGAGTTAATAATGTAAATTGGCCACCGTAAAGAGTTTTAAAGCTGACGTTTTGATTGTTAGCCCTTCGTCAGAGTGAATGAGATAACACTCTGTTTTGTCTGTGATAAGGCTTTCGAACTATTTGCTTCAAGCCAAAGACGTACGACACAATTAACACAAACGCTCGCTTTTTTATGCGTGTCGAGCTCATGGTCTTGGGAGCAGCAAGACATAAAACAGCAAATTTAAGAGGGGTGGAGAGTGGCTAAATGTGTACTGATATCTTTATTTAGTGGCGGTGGTGATATCCCAGGCCCACTGACATCCTATGATATGTCGATGCAAGTTCCTGCACCATATAGAGCTGTCATTCCTGCTGTTACCGAGGTAAGCTAGGGCGTATCCAGGGGTGGTTCGCTCGAATCCCCTAAATTTTCCCTCAGTACGCTTCATGAACGCCTCGGAATCATGTTTCCGAAGACCTAATTTTTAAAATCTTGAACCCCTCAGAAGGGGAATAATTCTCCGAACCCCCCTTGACTAAATCCTGGATCCGCCCCAGGTAAGGATTCAAGACAGAATTTATCGTTAGAATGTCAATACTATTTCAAGAAGACTAGTGATGAGAATAAAAAAAAAATATCGATTAGGGATTTATAAATGAGTTGATAAAATACCAAATTCTCCAAACTAAGATCATAAGATTTGTATGGCAGACAGTAAGGAGAATTGCTAATGAGATCTTGGGAATAAAAGTGTTAGCGTGATACTATATCTCAAGACAATCCAAGGAGGAAGGAAGAAATTCAAATAAAATTAACGGAACATTTATAGCATTAGCTAACTAAGCGCGGTTTTTTTTTTTTTTTTTTTTTTTTTTTTCCTACTGGCCATAGCGAGCAAAACGTTTGCAGCTTGGGGTGCTGCTTCTCTGAGCAGGGTCTGTGACATGACTCCTGACTAAAAATGATTTGTTTTGTTGAACATACGTTTAGCCGGCCAAACCCCCTGAGTTCGATGATGTGAAGGCGTCGTTCACCGAACGCGTTGACGTGATTTTTGAAGATCTTTCAAAGAAGTACGCGGAACTTGAAACGTAAGTCTTTGTGTCTGTTTGTTTGTTTGTTTGTGTACCTGCTTTTTTGTTGTTGTTGTTGTTGTTGTTGTTGTTGTTAACGGTTAACGGCTGAGAACATGGTCGAACCAAACACAAAGCTAAACTAATCGCGACATTCTTCGGAACGGTTTTGTAAAACACTATGTTGCTGAACTATATAGCTGTATAATGACCACTAATTGCGGCCAATATTATTCGACAAAGAGTGTCACCAGGTTGCATACGCTATGCGACAACAACCATAGTTATAACGTAATTGTCTTGGTTAGAAGTTCTAGAACACCTTGAACACCCTGAATTGTATAACATTGGTTTTTCATGCACAGTACAACCTTTTTAACGCCTTTCACGTGTATCTTTTTTAGACAGAGGGAAGCTTTAAAGAACGCGGTGGAAGCTTTCCAAGAGGAAAAGGCGGCACATATTGAGTTATACGAGAAACAGCAGAAGGTTATATTATTTTTATTATTATTATTATTTGTGCTATTATTTTTGTTGTTATTGTAAATTAGACGAATTTGCGTTTTTATTAATTTGTTGAGAGAAGCTGCGGCTATTATTAAATTATACCTCGATCAAGCTTCCTTTCCTCCATTTCTCCCCTCCTCGCCCTCCCTGAACTTTTGAAGATTAGTTAGTTCAAATGTCCCACCCGACTACCGGGTTTGATGGTCAACTTTTCTGTTAAAAGCAAATTCAGCGACCGTGACTATAAGAACAAACTTTCAGACAAAGACGTTGTAGACCTTTTCTTTTGAGCCATCAGCTCGAGAAAAAGATAACCATTTGTATTCCGCTGGAAAGACTTGACTCTTCCGGTTCAAATTCCTTGACCCACAGTCACGAGTCCCCAGGGCCTCCCGAGGGGTGGGGTGGGGTGGGGCGGGGGTGTGTGTGTTTAAACTTCAAATTGATCGGCGCATTATGTTTATTTACTCTTCACTTCTATTCCTTTCGTTGATCAACAGGAATTGGAGGATATGATAAGCAAACACAGAGTAGAAAACGAGGAATGGATTAACGCACGGAAACAAGAACTTGAAGAGGAAAGAAGTAAATTAGAATTGGAAAAGGTAGTGTTTTGACCACACCGGTTTTGCTGATTTTAATTCTGACATCTTTCAACGGTTCTCTATGTTATACTTAATTTTTCAGCCATCCAAAATATCTCAAACTGGATGTTTTAGTAGTTATTGATTTTTTTTTCATCGTTTTATTTCTTCTCGCTCATTTGAAATGAGGCTAAATGTTTTACTATAAGCCGGTTTGGGGGAGGCTTTGCCATGTGCCTCCACTCGGTTTGCTTTGCTTCTGTGCTTACGTTTGTTAATTTTTGTAATTATGTTGTTATGTTCCTCTTTGTGCTGTATTTGCCACATTTTGAATTCGTGTTGAACTGTCGTTGGCTGTGCATTGATTTTTAAACTCAACTTGCTGTTGATTTTGATAATGTTGATTGCTTGTTTTCCATGCACTGAAATGAGCCTCACACTTCTTTTAACAGAGTCAATTGGTTGAAGAACGGGAAAGACTTCGAAAGGAAAAAATAGAATTTGGCGAAAAAATCGAAGCTATCGAAAAGCTCGGTGGAGGAACCAGCCATCTAATAAATGGAGCTAGCTGAACAGAGAATCAATCGATCATATCTGTACATTGACCCTCTAACTCCCAGGTGTGATTAACATGTAAATTCTCCTCATGATATCCATATGTTATCCCGTGAACAAGTAATGAGAATACTCAAACTTATCCGGTAGAAGTTGTTGTCTTGATCTAACATCAAATTCCCATAACTAATTTACAAGAAAATTTTTAGCAGCTGGAGGAGAGAATTCACGATCATATCTGGGATTTAAAGGTTAAGGCATAGTAATTACAACGAACAATCAGAGGAAAGAAGAATACCTTAAAGAGCCACTGTGACTGAAACTCAAAGTATAACCGATCAAACTGTCTAAAGCGCGGGAAAACGCGGGGACCAACGGACCAAGTCGTGATTGGTATTAGTTTTGCATTTGATTGGTTGAGAGAGTGGCGCGAGTTTGCTGGACCAATCAGAAACAAACACAAAGCCATCCCGGACCACTTTCGACACTCCATTGAAATTTGCTCTTTCTGGATTCTTAATATTCTCGACGAATTAACTAAGTAGAGAATTCTACCTAGTGAACCAACACATCCCACACAAATAGCACTTCAATGTCGCTTATAAAGCACAAATACTATTTATCACGAGTAGGATCGTTATTTCTTCAGCAGGTTTTATTCTGAAAGTCATGCACACTTTTTAGAGTGTGTCCCACTTTTAACTTAAATCATCGGGACATTGCTTGAGAACGAGACTTAAAGTCATTCTCTGCCATCCGGTCCTCGTTAAAACAATGGGTGTCCTTTTTGGATTCTTTTTGCCCCCTCAGATGTTCCCACTTTTTATTTGAACTCTATCCTCCCCTTTACCCGCTACCCTAGGGTGTTGTTAGGGAAGCCTGGGATTCTTTGGAACACCCCGCAACCTTTAATGTGAGATACTTTTGCGCCTTTTCCGTTTCAATAACTGAATGTTAACCAGCTTGAAGTACTGCACTGATCGGTCCGATCAGTCGCCATGGACAAGGCTGAATAATAAAATGCGATGTCAGAGGGTATTCGGTCAAAAACGCGGGCTCAAGTGTTCTTGGTCTAAAATTTTATCGAAATTAGCGGAAAATAACAAGCTGACATTTAAAACCGAGGATTTTTGTTTTCGTCAAAGGCATTCTCATATTACCAGAGTTTTTAAGAAGAAAATTCGTCTTCGAAAAATTTTTAGGGGGTGTACAAATTTTTTGGAGGTTGTTCTGTAAAAGAAAAGCGGCAAGGAAAACGACGCCTCGAAGCAACAGAATAGGAAATCAACCATGCGAACGAATGAAAATCCGTGCTTCCACGGCAGAACGAACGCATGCAGATACGCTATTCAGCTCTTTTGTCGCCGTTGCCAAATGAATAAGAGCCCGCCGATACAAATTGCAAAAAACTACATTAAGTAATTATAAGGGACGCGTGAATTCGTATCTGTACCCCTTCCCCTTTTCTTTGAAGATTACTAATTCTTGTAATTCCGTTGTCAACCCACGATGTCGGTGTCAAAAAAGAAAAAAAAACACAAACAAAAAAATACATTAAAGCAGATTTCTTTGGTAATATTAAATAAACCGGCTGGTTAACGGAAGTTAATTAAACCAACTCTGAACAGACACTGTCCTGGAAGAGGAGTGTTGGGGGGGGGAGGGTGGTCACCAGGTTGCATACGCTATGCGACAACAACCATAGTTATAACGTAATTGTCTTGGTTAGAAGTTCTAGAACACCTTGAACACCCTGAATTGTATAACATTGGTTTTTCATGCACAGTACAACCTTTTTAACGCCTTTCACGTGTATCTTTTTTAGACAGAGGGAAGCTTTAAAGAACGCGGTGGAAGCTTTCCAAGAGGAAAAGGCGGCACATATTGAGTTATACGATAAACAGCAAAAGGTTATATTATTGTTATTATTATTATTATTTGTGCTATTGTTTTTGTTGTTATTGTAAATTAGACGAATTTGCGTTTTTATTAATTTGTTGAGAGAAGCTGCGGCTATTATTAAATTATACCTCGATCAAGCTTCCCTTCCTCCATTTCTCCCTTCCTCGCCCTCCCTGAACTTTTGAAGATTAGTTTGTTCAAATGTCCCACCCAACTACCGGGTTTGATGGTCAACTTTTCTGTTAAAAGCAAATTCAGCGACCGTGACTATAAGAACAAACTTTCAGACAAAGACGTTGTAGACCTTTTCTTTTGAGCCATCAGCTCGAGAAAAAGATAACCATTTGTATTCCGCTGGAAAGACTTGACTCTTCCGGTTCAAATTCCTTGACCCACAGTCACGAGTCCCCAGGANTCCTCAAGGAGCACCATCAAATACTCTTGACATCGTCCAACACACAGGCCATATTCAAAGAAACACCTCTCGTTGCCTATCGAAAAGGGCGTAATTTAACACAGATGCTTACCCACAAAAGACTGCGATCGCCGATAGCCGCTGACACAACCCCCTCCACTGATGAATCCCCACACGATATAAGCAATCCACACATTCAAGTTCCATCTGACACTACCTGTACAATCTGTGGTCGATCATTCAAAACTAACAAAAATCTCAAAATTCATTTCTCTCATAAACATAAAAAGCAGAAACCATTGCAATCCACTAGTCCCGGATTCTGGCCCTGTAGGGCTGACATAAGATGCAACTGCTGCAAAACATACGGGCAATTTACAGGGTCAGTTAAAAGCAGCACTACAGGAGAAACGATAACACTGCGACAACACACGTCATGCAAGACTAGCAATGTGATATACCTGATTGAATGCAGCAAATGTAACGATCAGTACGTAGGCGAGACAGGTCACCCAATTCACCACCGTGGCAATCAACACCGTAGCGACATCAAGGGTGGACATAAAAACATACCCTCTGTCAGACATTTTAAGAACTGTGGAGTCGACCATCTTAAACTTACGGTTATTGAAAAAGTTAGAAGTCAAAATCAAGAAATCAGAAAAGCAAGAGAAAATTATTGGATATTAAGACTCAATCCTACTATCAATAAGCTTACTACATGAATTATAACTACTTTAATTTATCTATTTTAGACACCATGACACGTTTCACTGTTATCTATTCTATTTTTATATTATTATGTGATGACATGTTTACTGTTGACACGAATTTTAAATTTGAAAATTGCTCATGTAATTAGTATGCTCCTGAGGAAGACTGAGACGGTCGAAACGTCGAGCTAATAGACCAACAAAGCTACATTGGAGTTGGCCTCTTGACCATTACATTTCTGCTCTTATATATATATATATATATAATGTACAACATGACAAACTAGTCGATGCTCTTTTCAGAAAATGTTTCTTTTCGCAAACAGAAAGATTCATTTTCCCTCATGAATTCAAATAGTAGTTTTTTCGCTTTGCAGTTACTGATAGCAGAGGAATGAATGCTCTCATGTGTATAAACAGACAAAAATGCCAATTGAAACATGAATCACGAAATTTGCCATAAAATTATAGCCATAAGGTTACGTTGATAAATTGTGCTTATCCAAGTGACTGTTATCTGTTTATTTGAGTATAGCAGTTCTAATTTAAAACAGAACGAACATTTGTTTGCCGAGTTTGGTGACCTTCCGAGAGGATAAAAACATATATTTTATCTGAAAGAGAATGTAGCAGTGTTGTACAGGGGTTTCAAAATGTTTTTTAGTAGGTGGCCTACTCTGGAAAAGTAGGCGGCTGTGATAACGCCAAGATTGTTTGTCACGGGCAGACTGATAAGACCAGAATAGCCGGCAACATACAATTAAGTAGCCAGCGGAACTTCGGCGGTCGCCAGCTTGTTTTGAAACCACTGGTGGTACACTTATGTACAATTTCTGGTCCAATGATTTCCACTTCGTATAGGATATATATAGTTAAAGAGATGTAAATAATATTTCTAACAATATTTTAAACATTTCACAGGGCCCCCTTTAAAACAGCTATTTGCTGAACTGGACTACCCTGTTTAAATATTCGTAATAAATAAATAAATAAATAAATTTCATCAACAATATATAAGTCAGGTTAATTAACTGTATTGATGGCAACGTTTTAACTGCCATATTTGTATTCTTTGTCAGGGGATGAGGTTGCTAGTTTATAGCACCGTAGTTTGTTTTTACTGGTGTGTTATGGCATGCTGTCAGTGACGCATATCCATGCATCCTAGTCATTATATTCCAACTACTAGATGTTGTTCCCTCATAAGTCTACTTTGTTGCTGATCAGCTGTAATACTTTTTGAATTAATTAAAACCTTGTGTCTGTTATTTACCTCAGCCTTTAGAGCTGATAACTTAGAGCTTGGTTTTGATCATTCTCAATATCATGCTCAACCTCATCCAACAACTGCTTAATGTTGTAATGCTTTGCTTCCTATGGCATTGATAACTTCTCTACAGTTGGTGCACCATATTTGTGTATGAGCTTGCTGATCAATAAACTAACCAGTGGTCCCAAACAGGAACATGTCCTGTTTCATTGGCGTGTTCTAGCAGTAAAGCAGTCAACAAATGGTAATCTATACAAATGATTTGCTTGACTCTCCATACACGCAAGACAAACCATTAAATATTAATTTATCTTTAAAACCATGATGAACAACCAAAGTTTCTTATATAACAATCATTTAAAAGCAAGCTGGAATTTCCTATCATCACTTAGTGTGTTTTCTCAAGAAGTGTGACTCTTTATACTCTAACATCAGTATGCATATTCTCCATACTGTTCTCTTTACATTTCCTAAGGTGCTGACAAGGAGAATTTGTTTAACAATCAAGAGCTTCTTTAGTGGGTGATAATTTTTAGCTTATGACCTTAAGAGAGCAAATTCATTGAGCCCATTCATTATATGCTAATGAGTTTTCACTAAAGGCCAATGAGACAGTTAACAGTCACCACCACCCAGTGAAAATCATTACCCTAATTGTAGCATTGGTTGATTAAAAAAATATTCACAACTGTTCTTTATTGTTCTCCTCATTAACATTAAGTGAAAACTCATTAGCATATACTTAACAGGTTATACAAAGTCACTCTGACTAATGTAATTTGATTCAGGGGAGATTTTGTAATGCAAAATTAAATGCTATTTTGACAGTTACTCCCAGGGATCAAAAGGTTATTGAGATATGAGAAGGTATGATCAAGCTGCATTCTTTTCTTTTGTTCCTCATAGCTCAGGGAAGATCCATAGTGTCTTTTATTTTAAATGAAAGTTTCCAGGACATTACTGCAAACAAAGTGCTATCCTTCAAGAAGAGCCTTTGCAAGTATTTGACGTTGATACGGGCTGAGTTCACTTTTGTTACAACCGTGAAGACTCCAAGAAAGCATTTGGTGTTACAGTTGCCTTCAGAAGTGCTCCCTTTTCTGCGGCACTGCACCGGTTGGAGAAAGGAGTGGCTGTTTTCTCTAAATGTCAGTGCTGTAAAGGTCTCTGGAGAAGATGAAATTTCGGTTCAAGAACTGAAAATATCTCAACTTAGATTACAAGAAGACCCAGGTATGATTATAGTAATTTGTAATTTCAGTATGCTGTATGTTAAAATGATGTATGAGTGGTTCAAGTTCAAACCATGTAGCTCAATACATAAACCACAGAGATACCACAAAGATACAGTGAATGTATTACAAGATTTCTAACTCTGTATACAAAATTAATAAAAGTGTTTCTTACTCACCATGGGTAGTTTTCCCAGGCAGATCACTTAGACCCAATTTTTAAGAGTAAACTTTAAATTAATAAAACAAACAAACACTAGTCAAGATATACTTTGCAAAGTCTTAAGATAATTTACTAACAAGCATACAATAAAATTTGATTCAACTATTAGCCAATTGCTTGCCTTAAGTTATTATCCATTCTAAAGGCCCAAATGGCATGTGCAAAAAGATGGAAATTTTCCCTATTTTTAATCACTTACAATGTAGCTGGCAGAAAATAACACTCAACATTACTGTAAACAATATACATCAATATGAAAGAAGGGCTCCAAGCTCAACTCTGCCAAATTTACCAATTGGTGACCTATTGTAAAATGGTTACAAGAAATAACAGTTAGGTCACGAGGGAAAAAATAAAGAAGGAAATTTGGAGGCTTAGTACTCAAGCAACCGAGCAGAAAGAGCCATTTTTACAGGAGAAAAACAGAGCACAAATATTATATAATGAGGATGATTACCTTACTGATCTCAACCAACAACTCATCAGAAACCTTTCCTCCTGCTGCCAACCACTGGACACAAGTCGCCTCAAACTGGTGACTGGGGCTGTTAACCAAAATAGTACAAGGTTAAAGATAAAGAAGAATTTTTAAAAGGGATTAGATGTGATAATTGCATTCAACAAAGAATGTGTTCATAATGTAGTAGAAATCGACATTTCTAGACTGTGTATTCATGGACACCAATTTCCCCCCCCCCCACACCCCTGAAGAATTATTCAGGGGTGCTTCGTTTCTGTCAGGAGTCGAGTTTCATGTTTTGCCGCGTGTTTGTGTGCTTGCTTGTCCCAAATGGTCAAACGCATCTCCCTAACCTCTGATTATTACTAGTTTTTATTTAGAACTATTGAATTAAAATTTAAATTTATTTATTTTTTACCATTTCTGCATATAGTTCTGGTATCTCCCGTGTTGCGAGTTAGTGAAGCTGCAAGGACAGGTGATGTCTCAGAATTGAAAAGAGTTCTTGATATAGAATCCATAACTAAACGGGATTTCCTGCTCAAAACCCGCACGGATGGAGCTACGCCTTTGATTATAGCTGCAAGGAATGGTAACACTGCAATTGTTCAGTGCCTACTAGATGAATATGATGTAGATTTGGAGCAGGAGGGCACTGTCAAAATCGATGGAGATCTGATTGAATGTTGCACACCATTGTGGATGGGGTCTCTAGGAGGTCATTTAGCAATTGTCAGGTTGTTATTGGAGCGAGGGGCTGAGGTGAATCATACAACACTGACCAACTCCACCCCGCTGAGGGCAGCTTCATTTAACGGACACACTGAGGTATGTTTTTTTATTTTTATTACTATATTTTAATATGGTAACTGTGTTTATTAGATATCAATGACTCTCTCCTCAGAGTACAAAATGAATACCATCCAGTACATGTCCAAAAAGTGTTGATGCGTGTGCTCTTAGCTGTAATCCTCATTGTCATGCTCAGACCTGACCATTTTTTTAAACATCAGTTTCATAATTTTTGTCAGCAAAAATTTGCCAGATATGTACAGTTGTTCTTACATATGACAGCCATCCTGTCATATCCTGTACGGGATATGAACCCATGACCTCTGCAATATCAGTGTAGTGCTCTACCAACTGAGCTAACAAGCCAACTGGGAGCTGTTAGTTATGTTGGTTCATATGAAACCTGTGAAGTGATGAATTAATGAATTTGAATGTATGAATATCATAAAATTATTTGAGCACTGCAGTTTTAAGATATGTAAGAAAGCAATCCTTGCAGTAATTTTCGCTACTACTTATTGAGTGGTGTTCATTACTACGGGGATGGCTTTCACACATCTTAAAACCGCAGAACATATATCAGGGCTCAACACTAATGGTGGCCCACTAGCCTCAGACTAGTAGTTTGGCTACACTGGTGAAAATCCTGTCCAGGATCCTGTTCAAGATCTTGATAGGATCCTTACTAGGATCCTACCTGAAATCCTATTCAGGATCTTGTACAAGATCCTATAGGATCCTGTACAAGATCGTATAGGATCCTTACTAGGATCCTACCTGAAATCCTAGTCAGGATCTTGTACAAGATCCTATACATACTAGGATCCTGGTCAGGATTCGGATCCTCTACAGGATCCTGCTTAGGATCCTGTTCCTATTCAAGATCCTATAGGATATTACAGGATCCTACAGGATCCTACAGGATCCTAGACAGGATTTTCACCAGGGTAGTAAATAAACTGAAATTGTCGTAAAAAGACTAAGACATCACTAGCCACTTGGCTAGTAAGTTGAAAAGTTAGTGGCGAGCCCTGTATAATTATGATTGTCATGTATTCAAATTCATCAATCAAGATTATTCTTTAATCCATGGTCTTTAGCATAATAACACTCAGTCTTAAAAGAAACACTTGTGGATCATTTGCATAGGGAACTGAAATGTTTCGTTCCATAGTTGTATAATTATCAGTTTTTTGATTAGGCAATTGAGGTAGTTTTTGTTTTCTTCCAATCCTTTACACCTTAAGCGTCAATATGCAAGTTCTTCATGATACTGTTCTATTTACATTTCCTAGTAAAAGGAAATTTTGTATAAGAATCAAGAGCATGTTGAGTTTGCCATCATTTCCATCATTCTCATGACCTAATATATATAATATAAATAGATGCTCATAGGGCGCATTTCTAATCTCAATGCGCCTAACAACAGATTATTAAGACATAAGAATAAGTAATTAATTAACAGTAATGTTTTTTAAACAAAATTAAAGGAACAGTAGAAACATTCAAAACTAAGCCTAGTTTTGAATGTTTCTACTGTTTCCGCTCTTTTAATATATTCGGGAATTGTGTTCCATAGTTTCGGTGCAGATACTGAAAAAGCGTGTCCACCATAGGAATTGGATTTAATAGGTGGGATGTATAACTGTAAGCAAGTTGATGATCTCAGTGTTTTAATACCCTTGCACACCCTAACATCAGCTTGCATATTCTCCATATTGTGTTTTACACATTTCTTAAGATGTGGACAAGGAGAATTTGTTTTTTAATTTGGTGATCATTTTCTTTATGCTCCTGACCTCAACAATATTAAAAAAAGTATGAGAGGGGGATTATTAGTTGATCCAATACCAAATTCTTCAAAGTTACATCCTAAGAATTGTATGGCAGAAGGTTAGGAGAATTTGGGATAATATCTGGAAAGTGAAAGGGTTAACGGGATTTTGAGAGAAATTTTCTCTCGAATTAGTTGGTATACGATCATGTGATTATTTTATTAATTGGCTTTGAGATGTTTATTCAAACTTTGAATGTGTAAAACAAGATAAATTATTACATTTGATTGTTATTTATTTACAGTAGAGCATGTCATCTGAGACATTTAGGGACAATGTCCTTTTCTTTTGTCAATGCTTCAGATTTATGATTATCACTTGTCAGGTACTTGTATTTTGGTGCATTTTGCGGACTAAAATGTATTTTAGCTCGCTTGCAGGCTCGCGGGATCGTTTAGACTGTTTTGTTGGTATTTTTTCGGTTTTATTTCCTCAATGCCTCAAAAGTGATAATTTTGATAAAAACAGCTTATGTTCATGGGCATAAATATGTTTAGCCCTTCTCAGTGTCATTTAACCCTTGCCAAGCAGCTTGGGCTAAAATATTGCTGAGTTGGGCCAAAACATGTTTATACCCAAGAAAATAAACCTTATTTATTTATTCTAGATCAATATTTATTTCTTTTTCTTTTTTTTGTTTTTGTTTTTTTAAAGGTTGTACGATGTCTTATTAATCACGGTGCAGACGTGAACAAGCGAAACCAGGATGGAAACACTTGTATCATGGTAGCCTGTTGGAATGGACATCTTGATACGTTTGGGTTACTACGGACTTCGGGAGCCAACATGGAGGTGCAGGACAACCAGGGTTTCTCGATGATTCACTGCGCTACAGCAGCCAACAATCTCACTCTCCTTCACGAGCTCCTTCCGGTACCGAATACTGCGGCGGTGAACGCGAAAACCTCGGAAGGCATCACTCCGCTGATGTTGGCTTGCGAAAAAAACCACCCCGATGTTGTTTTACTGTTGTTACAAAAGGGTGCTGCAGTGGATGAAAAGTCTGACAAAGGTCTTACGGCCGCTCATTTTTGCGCCCTGTCAAATGATATTAATAGTCTGCATCATATTATAGATTATAGAGCAGATCTGAGCATGGCTACGGAGCGAGGCAGCACCCCTTTAATGCTAGCCTGCGCGAAAGGCTATGTCTCTATTGTTACTGCCTTACTTAGAAACACTTGTAAGTCCAAGTTGAAGAACGAGATTACTTCGGCCTTGAAGCTCCGTAACTTGACAGGACACCCCAGCTGCCTTGGGCTTCTGGCAACGCCTAAAGGCATGGATATAAATGCTGGGAACGAAAATGCAGAGACCTGTTTAATGATGGCCTGCGAGAAAGGAAGCGTAGAGATCGTAAGGATTCTCCTTGATGAAGGAGCTGATCCTAACTGCGCTGATCAGAATGGTGTGACCCCTCTGATGATCTGTTGCAGGCGGGGCCAAGAGAGAATTATACCCCTGTTGTTGAGGAAGGGGGTCCTTGTTGACCAAAAGAACAATGAAGGAGATACAGCTTTGCACATTTGTGTGCGGCATTACCGCGAATTCAGCGGTCACAAGAAGTGTTTGGAGCAACTGCTTAGTACTGGCGTGTGTTTGGATATGAAGGTTTGTGAAACTATGTTTTTGTCTAAAAGTCCGTGTATTCTCGTCCACAGTCTATACTAAAGGCAGAAAGTTTATAAAGAAACTGTGGTGCTGCGTCGGTGGGGGTAACAAGGTAATTTGATTATATAAACTAAGTTGAAATTGTAAATTGGCCACCGCAACGAATAAAAAAGTTGACGTTTCGAGCGTTAGCCCTTCGTCATAGCGTTAGCCCTTCGTCAGCCATTCGTTAGCCCTTCGTTCTGACTATTCGCTCTGACGAAGGGCTAATGCTCGAAACGTCAGCTTTTTTATTCGTTACGGTGGCCAATTTACAATTTCAACTTAGTTGATATAATCAAATTACACAGTCTATACTGTTTCCCCCTCCCCTACCTCACCCCACTCCTACTCTTGGACCTGCAACCAACTCCAGTATCCTTTAGTCACTTGTCGGTTATTCTTTGGATTATGGGTTTGAATTAATGTGTTATCTGTGCCGTATTGAATGAGGAAGAATAAAAACGAAAAAGAAGACATATTAACAAAACCTGCGAAGGAAATTTTGCTGGAGTCTAATCTCCCTCAAACTCGTTAGATTTTCCTTCATAAGTGTTGGTTCATCGGACACCTCCATTATGGAACGCTCCCGCTAACACGCACACTGAGATTAAGCTTTTTTGGGACAGATTGTCTCCGATGAAATAGAGGGTTCTGAAGAGTTGATTTTACGAGGTACACTTTGCTAAACGTAATGTTATGTTTGATGCCGTAAGAGACCAAAACGTTAAGCTTGTCCCCGTCGAGAAACTTGCGGCACAGGTCTACATTACCATACCTTTCGACGAAATCCGAGGTTTTAATACATAATGTTTCTTATTCCATTTTAGCTTAGGCGTGAAAGTTAAAGCGGAGCTCGCAGTATGCGCGCAGCGTAGCTCCATGCTTACAATATCCCTTTTCGTTTACGTCCAGAATTCTTCAGGTGACACACCTGTCACAGTTGCTCTCAAAAATAAGAAGTGGTGCGGGCAGGCGTTTGAAATGTTACACAGTGGGGGACTGGAACTCAGTACCCCACTTCAAGACACCAGTGGCGACACAGTGTTCCATAAGTGTGGGAGATCTGGTGACGTCTCGTCTATGACCTTACTGTTGGCCTTGGACAACAGAGGACCCTTGCAAAAGAACCAAGATGGCGACACGGCTCTCAGAGCGGCTGCCCTAGAAGGCGCTGAGGCAATGACGCGCGCTCTAATCAACACTGTCAGTGGGTTCTCACCGAAAGACAAGGTAGAGGCTCTTGAGTTGTTAGGTGTCGGTGTATTGGCTAAAGAGATATCACGTGATTGGGACATATCTGCCGTGGTCGGTTTCTGGCAGGAAGCTTTGACGCTCCGTCGCACTCACAGTCTTACGCTCCCAAATATCGTACCTCGTGAGTTTCCGCTGGAGTACTTTTTCGAAGCCAGACTACCCAGCGATCTGACTGCGTTCGAGTCAAATCCGAGTGCGGTCACTGCGCAGGCGCTGCAAATTTGTGATCGCGTTTTGGGGGATACCCATTCCCGCCTGCCCTCCCTCCTGGGGACCATTGGCGAACGATTCGCGCAAATAGGCGAGTTTTATCGCAGCTTAAATATTTGGCTGTACGTTTTAGAGATTCAACTCAAATCCCTTTCGTCTTTACCAGAAGGAGTGGAAGACGTGCTTAATACTTTCCGCTGTTTTGCTGATGCGTTTGGTTTTGTCCTGAGCCGAAGTGGGAGCGTCTTGCATTTTAAAACTGTCTATCAAGTCGTTAAAAGTGTGTTGCAAGGGTTAAAAACATGCCCTGCAATTTACGAATCACGTGATAAGATGATGGTCTATCTCCTTCACTACTTGTCCGCCTTATTAGAAGTTTCGTCGAACGATCGTGATGTAGAGGTTGTTACGGAGACAGTCAAAGCGGTTGCATGGTTGGGCTTGCGCAGCACAACAGGGTCAACTCTTCTTCACCTTGCCGCAAACTCTAAAACTGAAGACATAAGCTCTCTCAAGGAGCACCTCCACTTTCCGAGCCGCCGCGTGTGCGAGCTTTTAATGGACAGCGGTATTGATCAGAATGCAGTAGATAGCGACCGAAACACCGCACTTCATATACTTCTCACCAAAGGGCACGCTGAAAGAGATGTGCTGGCTTGCCTTTTAAAAGCTAGACCGCATTTGGACGCGAGAAACTCGTCAGGAAAAACAGTCCTTGACTTGGCGAGGTGTAAAAAGGTATGGAGCTTTGTCAGGGCCGCTGAACGAGTCCCTCGTCTACAGTGTCTTGCAGCTCGAAAGATCATAGGAGAAAAGTTGCAGTATGAGGGTATAGTTCCCAAGAGATTAGAAACATTTATTCAGCTGCATTAGCACAACGGATGTTGAATATTTAAACAGCTTATATCAAATTACATAAGCAAATAAGGGCCCAGGCGCAACAGGGAAACTTTTGTTTATTTTGCAAAAGAATCTGTCATCAGTTCAGTGAGACAAGTGCGCCCTGTGATTTCATCCTACCAAATGTTGTCAAGCCTTACCAATCTTCAAAGGTGCCGTCGTGCTGCCTTGGAGCAGGACAAATTTGTGACAGGCGTCAAATCTGACAGATTTTTCAATTAACAAGCCACGATTTGAAGGATTATGTCAATCGAGAAATTTTGATCTCACTTTTTAAATGCGGGTCTTACAGGCAGGAGGCTGCCGAAATATTTAATAATAGTTTTTGTTGTTTATCAAACGGTGAAGATGGCAGATTTGTACCTCGGTTTTTACCCCTTTTTTCTCCTATAATTCTTGTTAATATTATACACCTTTAATTCAGCATTCTCTGCAAGGGGTTTGAATAAACGTTGTTTTCACTTTTCACTTTTCACTTTACATGACATTCAGTACCCGGGATACTCAGAATGCAACTAGGATGGCTCCCAAGTTTACGTCTTAGCTGAATTCCCAGGTCAAAGAAGTCCAAGTACGGCTCAATTTGTATCTCCTTGTGATTGACATTTGGTGGTTAACAAATATTTTGCTGTTTTTCAGTGCGCCCGCGATTGACAAATTGAAAATTTGGTGGAGACAAAGTTTGTTGAGATTATGATGGAGCGAAACAAATTTTTCAGCCCAGTGCGACCGGGTTCTAATTCAAACATCTTGTGACGCCTCAGTTGGGACTTGAGTGTGCTGTTACCAAAAATGGCTCAGGCTAGTCGCATGATGTATATCGTCACGCAAAGTCACAAATTAAGTCGCGTGACTTAAGAACGGAATGCGGTTAGGGGCTGATGCAGTCTTCTTACTTGGTCAAGTGAACAGTCTCAAATATTGCCCATTTCTCGAATTATATTGGGCCTTTTCTTCAAAACGAGTTTTGGCGTTCATCGTTTTCATTCACATGCAAAATTAAACTTATTTTCATACAAATTGCTGAACAGCAGGCCTCGTTTTGAAAAAGAGGCTTAAGGTAATTCAGAATCTGGCTATTTGGAAGTTCCTGAAGCGTATTCTTTTATGAACGGAGTCATTTTGAATTGTATTTAGAAGTCCTGGCCGCATAGTGCGCGACACCATGATTTGCTACGTGCCAATAGGTACTTTCTGTATCCGTTTGACGAATATGGTGTTGTTCAGGTATTGTTTGGCTTTAGCGCAGATAAGCTTGCGAGGAAGCCGCGCGAGGAGAAAGGCCCCTTGCGTGCGAAGAGCGAACCTGCTTTCATTTCAGAGCAAATTTAAGGTAGACACACGATCGTACAAACAATGCCGGAAAAGTCCAAGCGCGGGTGTATTTAATTGGTATCTTGTTTAAAATAATTATCGTTTGAGACAGAGCCTTAAAGGGAAACTACGGTCTAGAAAAAGTTTATCTCGATTAGAATACTTTTTCGTCAGGAGTCGAGAAGAACCGCCATTTTCTCCAGTTTTCCTTGCATAAGCCACAAGAGCGCTTTAAACTTGCCTTTATTTACAACTTTTGTGGTTAGAAAAACGCCATCTTGGATATGACTTCAGTTAGACGTAGCAATAGTCAAACTTTGTTCGACGCTTTGTTCTTGTTGAACAATTTCTAATAGTTGAACTATGGTGGACTGTCTTGTGGTTGAATGTCAAAACACACAATAAAATTCAAAAGTAAAAAGGTGTAGGCCACCACAAGCTACCGGAAAGTGAAACATTTTAAAAAACCTTTAGTTGCCGAAAAAAACCCACGAGGAAGGCTTCCCAAACCCGGCAAGATTGGCACAACTGCCAACACAAAGACTTCCAGCGAGATATAAAGGCATGAAAGATGTTCTTGTTGACCTTCGCTTCGAACTGAAAGCTATGTTTACCTTGCCCATATTCAACGCATACTTCAATTATTTATCCTATACATCTTTTTAAACCATTTGTTTGGAGCAAATACTTGAATTGAAGCTCGAGATGGTCATACACCACGTGTGGTAAATTAAATTCTCGGTCACCATCCTTGACCAAAGCCGATTTTTCCGAGTATTGAAGAAATATATCTTGTTTTTGCTATGTCAGTTATGAGTCATCAAGTAAATTTTCTTAACCCCGCCAGTCGCATACTCTTACAAAAAAAAAAACACTAAAGGGCATTCATTACTTTGCCAGCAAATTACCCAGACAGATAGGTTTGCAACAATTACAAATTATCCTTCGCTAAGCAGGCGCCCATATTTTACTATATCATATCGATTGGACACAATAAAAATTATGTAACAATATTTTGTCTTCCAACCAACTACTTAACGTAAATATGCAGTGCTGATGCTTTCAAAAGGAATCGGAAGTTTCCTTTTAGTTTCATTTAGATCGAGGTAATTTCTAATGTAAACACTGTATGACAGAGGCGATTTTCTGGCGCTGGTCGCAAATAACGAAGCTTTGCTTCTCACAAAACGCGAAAGAAAAATATTGCGGTGACGATAATTCTAACCAATAAAGATAAAAACACCAATTGTAACTTAGAAGTAAAAGCTGAAACAAACAAAATTATATTCTTAATAATTAAGTTCTTCCTTTTGTCTGCATTAGATTTGGAAACTGAATGTTCCTAATCAACTTTGTCAATGTTTACGCCTTACGAAGAATGATCTTTAAAACTATCATGTCTAAGTTGTTGCCTGCCAAGTGAGGCTGTTCTTAGGTCCAAATGACTCGTATTCGGTTATACACCGAAGCTGGTTTCCTGAAACTGCAAAAATATTTCGTTTTATTCCGAGTTTGCAATGTGAAATGAATCCGTAGCGGGCACTGCGGTCTTTTTAGTAAAATAACTATCACTTCAGGGCTAAGATATTTTGGAGAGAAAAAAACTTTATTTTTCAAATTGAGTCGGTGTCCTAGTACATTAGTTCTTGGGAGCAGGCACTCTTTTTTTCCGTAGGCTTCCCTTGACAGCTTCCGCAAGAAAATCAGTCGCCATTTCCAAGACGTGAGCGACTGACCTGATCGACGTTTCTTCTTGAAACTCATTTTCCTGACTTTTTTCTCTCTTTCTCCTCAACAGCGGCATCCTCCGCCTGATGAGCCATGTTTCGTTTGAAACATAAATAGACGTATTACACCCTCTCGGTTGCATTAAAATCCAAGTCGAAAACTTAATCAGTCGCGCCCCCTCGCCGCTGTTTTCCTTGTTTACATCTATCTCGGCAAGGAGTTAATAAGCATACTTGACTATTAGGCTCTCACGTCTTAACAGAGATGGCGGTTTTCAATTTGAAAATGCCGATATTTGGAACGTAATTGTTCGCAACTAAAACACTGGGGAGCAGGGATGGCGCAGTGGTGAGAGCACTCGCCTCCCACCACTGTGGCCCGGGTTCGATTCCCGGACCTGGCGTCTCATGTGGGTTGAGTTTGTTGTTGGTTCTCGTCCTTGCTCCGAGGGTCCTCCGGTTTTCCTCCCTCCGCAAAAACCGACATTTCAATTTCCAACTCGATCTGGAACAGTGGACAAGAATAGCCACTCAGTGGATGTCCATTGCTAAATCATTTATTTATGTATTTATGTATTTATTTATTTATTTACTCTTAGCACAAATGATAGCCAGTTAGGACAATGCAAGTAACGAAGTTTTGATATAGGTAAACTTTTTTAAGACTGTACTTTCCCTTTAAACAGGCAAGCTAAGTCTTTCTTTGTCCTGAATAAAAATAATAAGGGATTTCTAGAAATCTGAAACATCCATTTCTCAGCTGAACTTTAACACAAAAATGACTCGGTTTGATTCGAAAATGAAAGTTACTACTCGTTTTGAATAAACGTTCATTAAACGTCCAAAAAGCTTCATTTGTATAGGGAATTTATTTTTCTTTTGTTTTTCAACCGGTCGATGGCCTGTACCTATCCAAAAAAATGAGGGTATTTATCAAGGCCTTTTTAAGGCAGAAAATGTGTCGCCGACACGCTTGCAGCTTTAAGAAAAAGTTGATCCCAGAATTGTCATTTTTCAGAGGTGGTACTTACGGAGAAAAAGTGATATGGTACGGTGTTGGGAGAAAAAGAAACTTCTTCAGCGTTGGCATATTAGGGAAAGAATCGTCAATCTTCTTGACCGACAGCGTTGAAAATGTGACCAGAGAATTCAAATTTGTACTATATTTTATACTCCGTCTGTAGCTACAATTTGGAACACATTAAGTAGTATAGCTCCAGATGCTGTTATTTTGAGGGCATATGGAATTAAATTTTGTTTATCATGAGAGGCTTTACACAGAGCCTAGTGTACAGTGATGTGTAATTTGAAACGGCTTTGTCAATGATGTTAATTCTATTCTTCATCGACGTTTTCCCATCGAAAACGGACAAATAGCTAGAAAAAGCAACTGAGAGCGAACTATTCGTTACATGTAACATACCGTTGCCGCGGTCATAGGTTTTTGAAATTTTCTGCTTTTTCTCTGACTTTTCCCCAACAATGTAGAATTTCGCTGAGAAAGGCTCCAGTTATAACAATTTCACAAAAGAGTCCTCCATATTCTTCCGTCTATCCTTTCCCTCCACCCATAGATTTATTCTATATATGCAAGTCACGTATCTACAATGTACATGAATTGATAGTTCCTTTGGGTTGCATAACAAAAATGATTTATGTTCTTGGAAACCCAAAATCGGCCTTTCTCCTAATTTCATCAAACTATATTCTACCCGGCAATCCAGCGCCTTCCATGTCCTTGAGATGTTCCAAGAATTTAGAATGCTGGAAAACGGTGAAAATAGGAGAAAAAAATACATTGTTTCATTCACGAACCAACCTGAAGTTGCATAACAGAGGGAAATATGTTAGTCAAGAATCTGTCAGTTTCACTAAGAAATATACGTGATTAACATCGACATCGCGTAAAAGAAAATCTCTCCGTCTTTCATGATGAAGAGACCCAAGACAACATAAGCGGTTTTATGTTTACTGGAAATTTACCTTTTCCCTGAAATCTTTCAAAAAATTTTTGTTGAGAATTTTCCCCGAGGCAAAGTAAAATTCTCTGAGAACACCCGGTATGATAAACGGCTTTACAGTTTAAAATCTCCAACGTTGGAAATGGGATAGAATGATTAAAACCTATTAAATCTCAAAATTTAGTCAAAACAAACGTGTGTTACTACGTATATGAGTTTTGCACTGGCAATTTTGTCGTCAAAACGAAGCCGGCTATTTTTTTGGAATTGTTAGCGCGTAAATGAAGAAACCACTTCGATTTCCTCTTAACACCACGACACTAAAATTTATCTTAATGTAGGTAGCATTTGCTAAGGAAATATACGATTTATAAATGATGGAAGAGAAGGAAATCGGACCTAGGAGCGCTTCACCAGAAAAACAAAATATGAACATTTGGCGTTGCTTCAATTTCTCTCATTAGTTCAGAAGAGAATCTTCCACTTCATTGATCCACGCTGAAAAAAAAAAAACAGTCACTTTGGGTACACCATACTTTTAAATTTGTTTTTGAATCCTAAGTGTTCACTGCTGCGTTATGCATTGTAAAGGAAACATATATCCGGTTGGGAAAACATATTCCTTAAACTACTATGATGCCGAAAGAAAAGATTCCATAAATATGGGACAGTCTAATATTTCACAAGCTGCAAAGGAGCAATTTTTGGCGCTCTTCTTTCTCTACCATACTGATATTATTTGATATATATATATCTATTTTTTAAATTTGTTGAGGAATACTGCTGTGTCAGCGATTTTTTTTTTTTTTAACAAAATTTATCAAATGTCGCAGTTTTATTTTATTTAATGTTTTTAAAATTATCATTTTCACTTATATTTTTGGTAAAATCCTCTCTGGAATTAATCTGTGTTTACTCCAAAAAAAAAAAATATATATAGTTACTGCATCGATTTGTTTTTGTATCCACTCTTCCCAACGACGCTTAAAAACAGAACTTCATTTCCGCCGAAAACAAATCGTCTGAAGAGATGTTTCGCACCAGTTCATTTTTCCTTTGATTAACACCCTAATCGACTGAATATGTAGGTTGAGCGTATGACCATTGTTTAATGCCAGGATGAGGTGTTGGGGGCTCTTAGCTTTTATCCTAGCGGTTCTTTACTGTTTTTATTCAAAAGAGTAGTCTACATCACAAGCTGTGCTTCAAAAACGAAAAATACATAAATTTTGTCTGAATCGAGTAAGGTAGTAGGAGGTGAAACCGTAAGACCTCATACAACGTGCGTACATGTAAATGAAAAGTGTCACACCGCTCTGCAAGCGATTTAACCAACTCGACGCTTATGCGTCACTGAGGCAGATCTCGTGTTGTGCACAAATTGTATAAAACGAACACTCCTCTCGTTCACTGAACCAAAACTCATTGACCTATTCTAGAGAGGCGTGCCAAACTGCCAGTGCGGATACTTAGAAGCAGAATGCCAAAAACCTGCTTTCCCAGCCTAATCCAAGTGGCAGTCGTTATAATGCTACTTAACTCGGTCTTCGTGGAAAAAACCATTTCAGGATTTACCGGAGGTACTCCAAGTTGTTATTTTCATCCTCCATATAATTGTCCATCGGCGAAAGATGGCAGCTCAAAGCGTCAACTTAGAAAGGTTGGTTCACTTTGACCTGGTTTATCGTTTGTTGTTGATGAAAATCTTATATCATTCATCAATTTGGTTTGTGTAGATTTGGAATTTTCATAACGCAATTTTTTTGGCACTTGGCACCTATCGCTTTGTTGTCCTGCGCATTGCAAGTATTGCAAGATTTCCCGCGCTTGGTATAGAATACATTTCTTCCCGTGCCCGGTGCGCAGAATGCTTCTTTTCCCGCGCTTAGTGCAAAGTGCTATTCCCGCGCTTAGTGAAAAGTGCTTTCTCGCGCTTAGTGCAAAGTGCTTTCTCGCGCTTGGCATAAATTGCTAGCTTCCCGCTCCTGGTACACACTGCTTCTTTTCCCACTTGGTGTGAAATGCTTCCTTACCCGCGCTTCGCATTGAGGGACTTAATTCCTGCGCCTAGTTCAAAGTGATTCTTCCGTCATCGATTGCTTGTTTTCCAGTGCTTCGTGTAGAGTACTTCTTCTCCCGCGCTTTCTACTGGGTGCTTCTTTTCCCACGCTTCCTACCGACCTTGTTTTCAGACCAGCGGTTTTTCCCTGTTTTAAGTTTCCACCGTTTTCAAGAGATACCTAATTCCTTTCTTGTCGTTGGTTGATCTATTCCTGTGATATAATCTAAATATTAATGTTGTCATGCACCTTCCAGGTGGAGAACATGTGCTTGACACAGAAGAGAGGCCTCTGCAGATCAGTCCAAGACTACTGCAAATTTGAACAAGAACTTGGTAACGTTTGACTAAAAATAGTGAAAAACCAACCCAGAAATAAATCGGCTAATAAGTTGAACAGTGTTACATGATAAATTTAAATTTAGGCCTTTTAATATCATTATAAGTTACAATAGACGTTTTCCAAGTTCCGTAGGTACATTTAACAAATTAATTTGCATGCCTGTAAACTAAAGAATAAATTGCGTAAAGTAATTAAGGTTTCAACTTTTGGTGTCGCCACTGCAACGTTAAGCATTCCATCATCATCACTTCGAGCTTGCTCGGCTTTCCATGACACGTTTCTTCAAATCTTTTACGTCATTCATGGCATTTGGGAGTTCTTTAATTCTGCATCCTGTATTATCCATAAGGTTGGTCAAGGTACGTGTTGCCGCGAAAGGTAACTAACCATGAAAAATAACAACCTCTAGTCTAAAATCCTTTACGAAGGCTTCGAGAAAACTCACAGTAAATGTTTCAGTGTTTAACGCAACATTATGACAAAAAATCGAGAAAAACTGAACAACAGAGAGAGGTTTTAACTCAGTGGCCTTCGAAGATGCCGCCACTGCCCATGCTTGAAAACTTAGATGTCCCGTATGGGAACCCAGGCGACGGCCGTGCGTCAACCGGCCGCAGCAGTATGTCCTCTGCGTCTTGCTGCGTGTCTGCCATTTCTAGAAAATTTTGACTCGTCGAAACTCCATTTTTTATTTTAGTGGAATGGTATTTCAATCCACAGAAAGAAGGTATGTCAAGTGAAAAATATCTGTGAAAAATGTAGTGATGATTGCACAAATACAACTTGAGATATTTAAGAGGGCAATTGAAAAAGCACAAAAAGGCATGTTTCAGAAAATGCAAATAACTGTAAAAGCGCCACAATACATGTCGCAGCTCCAGGTTAGTTTTTCAAAAAAAACACTTTTTTTGAAAAAACATGGCTGATTTCCATATATTTTACGTCTTTTCTTGGTCAACTTTGCCGTTTCCTTCCTTTCATTCTTCAGAGCTAGGCACTATTTGCCGAAAACTCCAGCTTCGTGTATAACATGTTCGCCTCAAATCTTTTCCAGGTCTCATTCTTGGTCAGTGTTTAGTAGATTGTCATTATGTTGGTAGGTCCCAGTCCTCTAAACTGTACTATGAGCCTTTGAGTACCCATGATGATCAGAGTCCTTCCATGTACCTAACCCAGAAGCTCGCCTTCACCAAAGCTGTTTGGCACCCGCCGAAGGTTTAGGAAATAACGTCCAGGAAAACTCCTTTGCCATCCTGGCATTGGATTAACAACTCCAGTAAAGCATAGATTGCCAAGTTTTGTTTCTTTTCAGCGACCTCCCCGATAAATCAAAATCACCTGCACGATAATTCGAAAGAAACTATCTATCACTTCCTCCTTTAAATCTCGACGATTGTGCCGGTCACGGTTTTTCCTCTCGTAACGTTGCTTGGTTTCATTGCTCGTTTTTTGAACAGATTAAACTCCTTGACACCTCTTTAGCATACCTTCCTTCATACCTCACATTTTTTCCCTTAAAACTTTGACACATGGTCTATCTTGCTTTGAACGAAATGCATAAACTATGAACTGACACACGGATGGGAAGTGGCTGTGAGCCACTGAACTCGAAAAGTGAATTATGAAAGCTGCGAGATGTCGCGGCTACCAGACAGACTTTATATTTTAAAATAGTTTGTTTATGGAAGGTTACGCTTTATCTGTATGGCCCACTCCCAGAATACCCTACTTGCCACAACAAATAGAGCTTTTCTTCTCAAGCGAGAGGTCCAAGGATTGATACCTTGTAGCGGCAAGTGCTTTTTCTTTTTTTTTTGTTTTGTTCTGTTTTTCTTTCTTCTTTTTCTTTTCCTCTTTCCCTCTTTTTATATATAACTTCTTCTCCCAATTAAAAGCATATAGTTTCCCTTTTGCCTGGAATGTCACCATTTTTGTGCATTAATTAATCAATATTTGAGAATCCAATTACCGAGGCTCGGCGTTTGTCTTTCCTTCTCTTGCTTTGGAAAAATGGGGAAGTTTTTATAACCCCCTCATTCCGTAGTTCATTCCACAGCCTAAAAATGTTATTTTGTTCGTGAAGCCTGAATGCAAAACAAAGTTCATTTTTTAACTCAGCCATTTCTGAGTTGTCGTCACGACCCAAAAATTTACCCCTCCATACATCACGTCCCTATTACTTCCTTACACGCCTGTCCATGTTGTGGTAAGTCCGCTGACAAGCGTATAAAGCTTTCGCATGCTTAGTTTCCGCGTGGGGGCTCAGCTGATAGATGAGAATTGGTTAAAAATCTGACAGTCCTTTACGGACTAGCGCTGACATCTTAATTAGATCAGCAAATTTCACTGATGGATTTAAGAATGGGTTGAAATTACTGCGTGCATAAGGCTTGCACACGCTTTGGGGGATTAGCGGTTCACATTTCAATTTTCAAGACCGGCTCTGAGATTTGAGGTAAAAGCTTTTGTTTACAGCTGATTACCATGGCACTGGATGAACAAGCCTGAAAACATATGCATTTTTGACTCCATGTCAGAGTTTGTGCATAATCCAAATCTAGATATATTTAGATGACAATTTCGCTAATTTTTTTTTTTCAAATTGTTTTATCATTTCCAAATTTTCAGCAAGAGGTCCCGCTATACATTTTGTTACATCCATTTTGAATTCAATGGTGATCTTTGCGATCTGATTTGTTCTTAGGGGTTCGATTTATACACAAATCACACTATTTATTGCTTGAAATCGCATCTTTTTCCAAACCAATGAGAAAGCTTACTAAAATATAACAACCAATCAGATTTTAAGACTAGTCTACAATTTTTCATTCTGTATATTGTAACTCGTGAACGTGCAATCGAAAATTCTTCGCGATAGAGGGCCAGACGGCTAACATATCTTGACTTCAGGAACAGGACTTTGGGCGCGATGCTCGACGAGTTCGATTGAAATTTACGAAAAGTATCTGCGAGTCCCTGACGTAGATGAAACGCGCGCCGTATCATGCCAACCAAGACATTTGTTCACAAGTATTTGACAAGTTTTCATTGTATAAAGTTTAAAGTAATTAGTTTTCAGGAAAGTGGAACACAATATTGCAACTCTTTATAAACCAGATTGGTACTGGATTAATGGAATATCCGAACAGACTTAAAAATCCTGTAGATGAGCGACTTGTAGTACACAGCGGTTAAAATGGAATCGGTTTTATTCACGTACCTGAGAGAACTGATTAAATAATTAAACACTTACTGTATATATGCAGGTCTCGAGGGTATTACATCACACATCACGCATCACATTACCTCGTGCATATTACATGCTCGTTGGCATCCTATACACTACACGACTGAGTTTTCGTTCCAAAATGGGTGTTTTAAAATGATAATTGAACTTCGTGTCGGGCAAAAAGAAGTCTGAAATCATACTAATTATGATTTCAATTCAAACTTGCACTGTGGGCTTGCTAGATTTTAAAATTACGCTTAAGATTCCATATCAAATCGCACTTCACTTAGTCAATTACCATTATATAATTATGTATGCGCGCATTTATCAATTCATCATATGATTCGAACATTGGCTTATGCGGCGCACATGGCCCGCTTCCACGATCAAAAACACAACCAAAGTCAAGAGCTCGCGGCATGCTACTTTTAGTTCACTCAAAAGTAACGCCTTTCTTGGTCTGATGTCATCCATTTTGGTGAAACGGCAGAGGTGGTTCCTTACACTAGCATTATTTCAGAGCCTTCTATGTCTTACTCTTTGGAGAACATCTTCGCTAAAGACAAAGTGATCCCATGTGAGGTTCATTACTTTATATACATGAAATCGCTGTATTTCTAAGGTGTGATCTGGCCGAAAGGGATTCAGAAACAGGTTATCAATAAGGCATTCCATTTGATAACTAAAAATGTTAGTAAAGGGAAAATAATAGCGAATGGGTTTGATGTGAAATATTTGGAAACATGGAGACTGGTTCTGCCATCTTAAAACTCTTTGGGTCGGGGATTCAGAACTGTTCGTCACCACCGGCTGAAATAAAGTAGCGAGATCTGGGGCATCTTAAAACCGTTGACTGTTTTTTTAAAGCAGAAGAAAAAATCGTTTTTAATTTTTTTGGACCGCCATGAATATCAATAATGACCAACATAACCACCGAGGTCGAACGAAGACTGACGATTGGATCCCGGCCTCTATTCAACTATCTTAACGGACATAAACCAGAAGTTTAATTCAGCCAGTCTGTTATCCAAGGTTTTTTTCTTTTCTTTTCAATTTGTAAATCTGATCTCAAAGGTAAAAAAACGGTCGATAGGGCTGAAAATTTAGCGCCCCTGCTAGTCATTATACCAAGAAATGACGCAATTCTCGACGCACCTCTATGGTCACTGGAGCAATTACACTAATTGATAATAACTCACCGAAGGCAAAGTGAATATTGTTGACTAATCCCGAGATGATGTCGAGGGAATTATTCAACGATGCTCACTAAGTCTGGGACGAGTATTCCAGCCTCCCACCGCTGTGGCCTGGGTTCGATTCCCGAACCTGGCGTCACAAGTGGATTGAATTCGTTCTTGGCTCTCCTCCTTGCTCCGAGAGTTTTTCTCCGGGTCCGAGGGTGTTCCTACCTCCGCAAAAACCACCAAAAAGTATTATTATTTATTATTATATAATAATTGCTCACGTGCATTTCCGTTGCAAATTCTGTGAATGGAGAGAGCATAACGCCTACTTTTTCAGAATTGTGTTGATTACTCGTACTAAGAACCTAAATCTGAAACCCTACTTCGCTTAGCTGACACTTAATTGTTTTTCATTCGGGGACAACTTTTTCAAAAAAACCAACGGCGTAGCCATGGGTACGAAAATGGGACCCAGCTATGCCAATCTTTTGGTAGGTTATGTTGAACATCAATTTTTTTAGCCAATACATTGGCCCCAAAC